GGCCGCCATTTGGCTATCGTTAATGAGATCATGAAACAAATGCACATACATATTTGTGACATGATGTACCTTGTGTGTGTGAAGTTTGAACTCGATCAATCCAGGCATGTCTCAGATACGGATCAAGAACTAAATTTTTTAAAACAAAATGGCCGCCAGTCGGCCATTTCGAACTTGATCCGAAAAAAAAAATGACGCGCATCAAGGTCGTATTATGTTTAATGTATGTACCAAATTTGAACAAAATCCGTCCATGCATAACTGAGATCCAGGTCCGGAATGGTGAAAATGTGCGATTTCATTGCATTTTCAGCCTTAAAGCGGCCCCCATTTGGTTATCGTTAATGAGATCATGAAACAAATGCACATACATATTTGTGACATGATGTACCTTGTGTGTGTGAAGTTTGAACTCGATCAATCCAGGCATGTCTCAGATACGGATCCAGAACTGAATTCTTTAAAACAAAATGGCCGCCAGTCGGCCATTTCAAACCCGATCCAAAAAAAAAAAATGCCGTGCATCAAGGTCCTATTATGTTTAATGTATGTACCAAATTTGAACGAAATCCGTCCATGCATAACTGAGATCCGGGTTCGGAATGGTGAAAATGTGCAATTTTGATGCATTTTCGGCCTTAAAATGGCCGCTATTCGGCTATCGTTAATCATGAAAAAAATGCATGTGCATATGTCCCATATAATGTGTGATGTATGAGTGAAGTTAGAACTTAATCGGTGCATGCATGTTCGAGATACAGGTGATCACGGACGGATGGACGCACACAGGGCAAACCATAAGTCCCCGTTTTCGGACTACGTCCGAACGGGGACTAATAAGCGACAACAATCTCTATCTACCAAATATTGAAATTTACATCAATACTCCTTGCTCAATAAGCAAGGTCTTACCTGGAGGAGCTGGAGCAAAAAGATCTGGTTGAATTTTTGGTTGTACCACTGGCTGTGCTGCCTGGTGTGGTGGTGTTGGAGGGGTTGAAGTAAATGGATTATTTTGATTGTTTGTAATCACTGTTGCTGGCTGTATCTGCGGTGAACTGTCTGGACTGCTGTGTTTGGCTTCATACAGTCGCTGTTCCTGTAGAATTAACAACATTCATACTCCAGTCATTGTAGACAAGGTACAAGAATAAATTTGCTTTGTCAGTATTTATCACTAGTATTTACGATGAACACTAGAGGGCATATGATGAACACTAGAGGGTGTGTGATGAACACTAGAGGGTGTGTGATGAACACTAGAGGGCGTGTGATGAACACTAGAGGGCATATGATGAACACTAGAGGGCGTATGATGAACACCAGAGGGCATTATAAAACATCCATATAAAGTTTTAAATTTTCAATAATATTTGTGTATGTGGTAGTGATTATGCCAATGATTGAAGGAAACCTACAAAGACTCATGGGTATTTGCCATAACCAAATGACATCGAGAGCCAATGAAAGTGTTTTCCATGAATTTGAATGGAGCATAAATCTCCATAAAAAACATTCACGCCTTCATGAAATTCACTGTATTTTGCTCTCCATGGGCAGAGACTGGTGGTTTTAGACACAAGGCCTGAAATATAGAATGTGGTCACATACAACCAATATAAAGATAACTATCTTCTTTGAGTGTCACGCTTCTCATAAATTGTTGATTACTGAGGGATAGAATTGAGGGAGTGCTAGCATGTCTGTATCTGTTATTACATATGGACATAATACCTGTAAGGACTGTGAGATTACATCCAGTGAAGGGAATGCCACTGGTACGTCATCGTCAGGTGAATCCAATAATAATGGACTTTTATTTCCAGTGTTAGTCTTATAAAAGGAAATCACATTGTGAAATATAAAAAGTCTCCGCGTGAGTGTTTTACAGCATGCACACAGGAAAAAATGCATCGCACCATGTTTTCTACTGCCTCATACAGGATTATTGGGTATTGGGTGGGGTGCCCGGTGAGGGATCCATGGATTGCAGGTACAGAAGGCAATTTGCCCTGATTGGGGGGTAGGGGGGTTACTGTGGCGCTTTCACCTTTTATACCAACAAACACCCTACAAATATTAACTAGAATGGTTTTGCTAACAATATTCAAGTCTAGACTACTTATGATTGGTTGAAAACAATCATGTGATTATTGTATCTGCATTGCATCATGGGATATCAAAAGAAACGAGTACAATTTATTTATTCGCCAATACTTGCACACAAACAATTATTAGAAACACAGAAAGACAGTTCACTTCATAAAAGCCATTTACAATCCAAAGTTTAGAGACACGCCTTTAAAACCATTAGACGTTAATATCATCAGGGTTATTGTAAGAACTTTTATTGACATGCGGTTAGACAATTAACCTTTTGAGCACCAGAGATGTTCCCATTAACATTTTTGTTCAATATTTTGCACATTTTTATGAATTATTCTATCATTTTTTTGTTATTTACAAACCAGATGGGCATAATTCTCATCAGCTACAGATTTTGACCGAATTTTTGAGAAAATATGAACAAAATTTTGAGGGTTTATTTTGTGAATCGTGACAAAAGTTGATGTTGGCGTTCAAAGGGTTAAAAGAAAAAAAAAACTTCATGCTTGATCAGTATTTAGCAACAATCGGCACATTTATTGAGTACGAAAGTAGCATTGGTGTTAACGGATCGCAATTGTCTCAGACATAGCAGTTTGTAGCGATTTGACTGATGCAGGTAACAACTCACCTATATCAGCAAAAAACAATATTATTTTTGTTTTCTTTATTGAACAATAATCTTCAATGTATTTTGCATGAGAAACAAATTAAACATGTTTAAAAACTTTTCTCTAATGTTAGTTCACCTTTGATTACCAGTATGATACAAATGAGACTCTATGACTGAAACACGCCTAACTGTTCATCAAAACCATTTATCTCATTATTTCAGGTAGAAACCATTTATCTCATTATTTCAGGTAGAAACCATGCATGGCTTGACAAAAAGATTTCCTTAAACCCATATTATACAATAACACAGATTAAACAAGACAAATAAAATTGAGATTCAAGATCTTGGCTGCATTCACTTAATAAGTTCAAATATCTACTTCACAGTACCATCAAATATGCATTAGTTTTCTTCATAATCAATTTAAATTTTTCTTCATAATTTCAATTTTGTAACAAAAAAATATTTCTACAAAAAGATGCTAGTATGCATTCAACCAAAATGAAACGATAACTTTAAATTTAACATAATGAACTGAGAAGTATCTTATACATTTCCCTCTATAGGTCAAACACAAATTTACTTTGTTTTACCATTAATATGTGAGCTAGAAGTTTGAAACTATTTTAACATTCCAAGAATAATAGTTTTTATCAACAATTGCCAACAAACCTGGGTCTCATCCTTAAAATGAATAAATAAAGGAAATAAAGTAACAATCAGTTAATAATGATTTAAAATCTATTTAATGCGATGAATGAACAGATGGGAATATATATGTATATTACAGTGGCTGAAACACTGCAAAGTGATGCTATGACAGGGACACAGAAACAGAAAATAAAAGTCATCCATAGACTGTAATGTGAAAAATGCCTGAAGTGGAGTTGCTGTGGAGACATCTTAGACATGATTTTTACTTTACCAACCCACACCGTAATTTGTCAAGACAATGGCATTACTGTCAATATCATTTTTATCAACAGCAAAAACATTTTTATAAATTCAGCTTTCAGTAATTGTTTTTTATTCTGAATGTGACATGAATATATTTCATAGAATTTTCCATAGCATGTGTTGATCTAGAATGTGTTCCCACTGACTTTCTGTTCAGAGAGCCACATAACTCATATGCCATGCTTGTTCTTTAAAGGGGCACTTCCAGTTAAACCTAATCCCACAACAAATTTACTTTCTGAATTAAAATTACAATGAATAACAAAAGATGGATTAACATTGTAAACAACATAAACAATAGTGTACCACGATTCTTTGGTGCAATCCCTGGGCTTGGAAGGTTCCCCTTTACGACTCCATTACAAGCCATATTGGCTATACATGGCTAATAGGTACATGCATTACAGGTACAGGGCCTTCCAAATGATGGCATGACTCACTTACCATGAGTTGATTTAATCTTCGTTTTTCATCTTCAACTGCTTTCCTTTTCTCTTCCGCTTCAATAGTGGCTAATGAGTTACTGGTCATAGTGAGTGAAGAAGCAACTTGGGATGATATGTTCACATTCCTGTACAACAAAATACACATTGGCAAGAGTTCCTTTTGTACCCCCATCCCTAACCCCAACTCTAACCATCGATGTCCTTAGGAGGGGCATGTACAATTAAATGGGACGTGCTGGAGGGTAGGGGATGGGTTAGGGTTAGGGATGGGGATGAAGGGTACAAAAGGAACTCTTTCCTACACATTTCAACATTCAAGATCAGTGAAGGGGAGTGGTGTGACAAAGTAGAATTGTTCAATTTTCAAAATGTACAACTGTAGATGATTTTAAAAGTGTATTAAAAAAGTGTACTTTTGAAAGTTCAATACTGAAATGTACATCAATGAACAGAACTAAAACACCTGATCAAAAATTCATAATCAGACACTGAGGGCGCTGTTTACTAATATGATATACTGTAAAAAACTTAATTTTCGCTTGGAATTAATTTTCGCTATTTTCGCTGAAGGAATGATTCAGTGAAAATAAAATCTAGCCAATAAACTTTTTTCCCCATATTTTACATTCAACTTGTCAAAAATCAGCGTAAATAAATTCCATACAAAACACCCAAAAAATCTTTTCAGCGAAAATAAAGTATTTAACAGTAGTATGATGGTAGCTTTGACACAAGTTTTAATGATACTAGTTGTTTTTAATACAAGATATTGAGGGCGCTGTATACTAATATGACATAGCTTCTTTGCAGTTAAGAATCACAAGTTCTATCTATTGTACCTTGCTGCAGTTGATTTCTTCCCTTCGAGAGAAGCCAAATGCTGTTCCAATGCATCTAATAAACTACTTGGAGCCTGAATCGAAAGAAAAAATGAAAACAAGCAGCAATTAATAAACGAGAAAATACACCAGAACTGACATTATTATATATTTACAAATTTTCTGACGATTCTTTCAAGAATGAGTATTATTGATTGAAACAGTGATTTTACTGTGTTTGATTATAACAGTGAGCAGTTGTTGTTGCTGGTCCAGAGATCAGAATAGTTCAACAGATTGATCTGCTCACCCAGACTATCAGAGATAATTGCAGTGATTACTATAAACAGATTTAATTTAGCAAGTCATGGAAAATTTAAAAGTTGTTTTGTAGCAGTGAATATTGCATTGGGGGTCCTTTAAGTTGCATTCCCACTTTGCAATTTTCGGTTACTGGGGGGTCTTATCCTTGAAAAGTAAAAGGAAATGTATTAACTGACTGACAGGAACAAATAAAGCCCCCTAACTCAGTGAGTATTCACAAATGTAGCTCAATTTAGCAATACTGGCAACACTTTGCAGATATCTTATTCTGCCTTCCCATCCATTTTATTTTTCGGTTACTGGAGGGTCTTATCCTTGAAAACAACAATGTATGAACGGACTGACAGGGACAAATAAAGCCCCCTAACTCAGTGAGTATTTACAACAGTAGCTCAATTTAGCAATACCGGTAACACTTTGTAGATATCTTATTCTGCCTTCCCATCCATTTTATTTTTCGGTTACTGGAGGGTCTTATCCTTGAAAACTACAAGGAAATGTATTAGCTGACTGACAGGAACAAATAAAGCCCCCTAACTCAGTGAGTATTTACAACAGTAGCTCAATTTAGCAATACCGGTAACATTTTGCAGATATCTTTTCATGTCTTCCCATCCATTTTATTTTTCGGTTACTGGAGGGTCTTATCCTTGAAAACTACAAGGAAATGTATTAACTGACTGACAGAAACAAATAAAGCCCCCTAACTCAGTGAGTATTTACAACAGTAGCTCAATTTAGCAATACTGGTAACACTTTGCAGATATTTTATCCTGCCTTCCCAGCCATTTTATTTTTCGGTTACTGGAGGGTCTCATCCTTGAGAACTACAATGTATAAACCGACTTTCAGGGACAAATAAAAACCCCTAACTCAGTGAGTATTTACAAATGTAGCTCAATTTAGCAATACCAGTAACATTTTGCAGATATCTTATCGTGTCTTCCCATCCATTTTATTTTTCGGTTACTGGAGGGTCTCATCCTTGAGAACTACAATGTATAAACCGACTTTCAGGGACAAATAAAAACCCCTAACTCAGTGAGTATTTACAAATGTAGCTCAATTTAGAAATATCGGTAAAACTTTAATTCTGAAACAAATTTATCTCAATGTAATTTGATGGTGGTCAAGGAATGTCACATATTTACAAGGTGAGAATGCAACTTCAAAACAGGGAGCTGCAGTACACGCAATCCGTAATATACAAATGATATCCAAACAAACAAAATGTGACAGATAATATGGACGATATAAATGATCTTCTTTTATCCATTTACATCACAAAAACATGAATGCATGAATTTAGAAGGTGTATTGAATATACATTTTTGAGTTGGGTGTACCGTGAGTACTCATTAATGACAGGTATACACATACTGCTATCGCAATGAATTCAGACAATGTCAGATGAAAACAAATACAGCAGAAAGCATGTTTTTAAAGTACAGTGGGCAGACATGAAACAGCGGATGTCAAATACACTGAGCGTAGAAGCATATCCAAGAATAGAAACAGACATTTTGGTCTCTCTCATCAGTATCATGAATTATGGAAGCTTAAAATACAAATCATAGTATGGTTTCATTTATTCAGATTGAAATCAAACATAAGCAGGTACATTGTAAAGGCTCAGTCAAGGATTACATTGTCCTTAACCATCTCAGTCTCACTACCTTCACAAGACATGTTGAAGCAATTTCATTCTGATGGGATTAGTCAAAGAGCTCGAGCATGCCTTTATATAGAAAGTGGCCTGTAACACGTGTTTTGGTTGCCTGTCCTGAAAGATCTAAACATGACTTGGATAAGTAGTTTGTCAGAAGAAGTTAAAGGGAATGTCGCCATTAACTTGAATTGAGTTGCTAGAGCCTCAATCTAAATTTGATGTTAATCAGCATGTGATTCCATTATGTACGAAAAAAAATAAACAAAAATCCAGAAAACTACATGACGTAAGCGACAAATTTGAATTTATCAATGAACTGGTTCCAAAGATCAAGATACTTGAGTATGAGTAAACCCTTGAAAGAGAACATGCCAGTGTTCTATGAATAGCATTAGAAAAGCATCAGCACAGTAAATATGCAGATCTGCAAAGCAAAGCATCAGCACAGTAAATATGCAGACCTGCAAAGCAAAGCATCAGCACAGTAAATATGCAGATCTGCAAAGCAAAGCATCAGCACAGTAAATATGCAGATCTGCAAAGCAAAGCATCAGCACAGTAAATATGCAGACCTGTAAAGCAAAGCTCATACCAGTGACATGTAAATAGCACCAGCAATCATTCCATCACCAAGGAGATGGGCATATGCAGTGAAGATGTTAGTATCAAAGCAAATGATAGACTGGTACAGATGAGTACACCGAATTGTAATATCCAAGAAAAAGCAGGGTCTCAGGGCTATCTTCAGTAGTATAGATTTACTGTGAAATACTTTATTTTCGCTAGAATTAATTTCTGCTGAAAAGGCTTTTGGATTTTTTGTATGGAATTTATTTTTACTGATTTTTGATGAGTTGAATGTGAAATATAGGAAAAAAAGTACATTCGCTTGATTTGATTTTAACTGAATCATCCCTTCAGCGAAAATATATTCCAAACGAGAATTTCTACAGTACACACATTCAGTCCACCAAGTGAAAGGACTACACAATGTCCTGTCAGAACTGAATCTTGATTTCACTACAAACACCTAAAAGTCACCAAACTGAAATGATTTCTCTGATTTCAGTTCATAGCCTGTATATCATGCCATTCTTGGCTATACGTTCACTCCAGTAACTCAACACTCTATTCCTCTGCAGATTAGTAAAACGTCATGTTTTCCACATGTACAGAGTATATTTAGTAATAATATTATACCCCCATATGCATATAAGAAACTCAAACAAGTTGCTGAACCATGAATGAAAGTGAAATGCTAAAACACACTGATTGACTCATGACAATCAACAAAAAACTGGAAAATGGGTTCATGGGTTCATGTTGGGTTCATGATTGAATAGTTCTGTATGAAATAAAGATCCTCTAGACTCTCTGTGTATTTGTTGTTAGTCAGTTTGAATATCTTTTGCCTATTCACAGACATGTGCATTTGGATGAGTGTCTGCTTCAATACAATTTCTCTTGTATTTGAAAGTTTTTAGTTTAGTTTCAATTTTTTGTTATTTTATGTACCGGGTAGCCCCATAATAAGAACTCTTGTGAAACAAGATATAAGGTAATGCCGATAGTTAATTCAGTTTATTTGTTGTTGCGATTTCTGTTTTGCTCAATGTGGCACAAATGACTGTGACCAGAAAGATGTTTCACAGATGTTTGAATAATTAATTAGGGACTACCAGTATTAAATGGATATACACTCAGTTTACACCTCAAAACAATTGAAACAGACATGTCTCATTACAAATGTAATTACACAATTACATGTAATAAATATACTGTAAACCCCATACTTATTTGCAATTTTTTTTTTTGGCATTCACTGCTAGAAAATTTTGCGAAAGTCGCTCACACTGACTGCACGTCACAGGATCCAGAGAAATTTTTAACTGTAACTTGTGTTGTTTTTACAGTTGTTATTGCATTTGCTTTCACCAATATCAACTCCTTCACCAAGTAGGTGAAACCAGTGTTACTGCTTAAGTGGTTGTTGCTGACTATAAGGGGGCAAAAAACAGCCTACTGACGACGGTTGATACGATACTAATGTGTAATCGTATTTACAGACAGTCAGAACATTTAATTTTAAAAAGCACTACATACTCAGACCAAGTCTTTGACGCAAAAAACTCTATCGAGTCTAAGAAAATATTACAAAACACATATTGCTGTTTTTCTTTCTTGATCTTTAGAGTCACCTA